AAATTGGCAAAGTAAGTTGACCAAAAAGTTGACTTAGTTAGTGGAAATGACTATAAAAGTTATATAATGAATGGAGAAGGGCTTACTATGCCAAAACTTAAGTTAAAATCATAGACATTGAAGTTTGGTAGGTTTTAGCCAAAACAAGGAAACTTGAAGGACAAAATATAACAAATCAGAAAATAAGAATGCATCATCTCCATTTCATCCAAATATGAACAATGGGAAAAGAAGAGAGGAAGTGAAATGGCGATTCAAGATCCAGAGAAACCCTAGGATTCAATCTTAAGCCTTCTTGGTTCATTTGTTGCAAGTTTAAAGAAATCAAGTGGTTCAAGGGATACTTTCTTCCTCCCTTGATGTAGAATTCGAGTTTCATCTATGGATTGGGAGTTATGTATAATTTTCATCTCATTTGTGTATTAGGGTTTGGTTTTCTGACCTCCATTGAGTTGTTTCGATGATCTTAATCTCAATCAAATCATCACATTAATGGATTTAAGGATTTTGGTGAGAACCCTCATGAACCCTAGAAATCCTAATTTAGGGATTCTTGTTTATATGTTAAATTGGAATTGAATTATATGATCTAGATGATATTTAATAGCAACAAATATAATTTGAATGCTAAAATTCATCCATGATGGGAGAATCATGTTCAAGATTGAATGGAAATGGAATTGGGGACAATATGATGAAAATAATGGAATCCTTTGTGGTTAAGAGATTGATGAGTAAAGGAAGTTCATAATCATGAATGGAAAATCTTGGAATAATTTGAATTCAAAACATAAGGTGTTGCTTGATTCCTAGATTGATAAATGGATATTGGTAATAAGGGAAAAATGGGAAAGTTGGAATGGAATTGGACATTCCATAACTCCATTAAGGAATTAACATAATATTTGTGTAATGTTAGATTATTCAGGAATAGTGCATATGGGTTGAAGGGTATTATTGAGCAACATGATCTCTTAACCATTTTAATTGAGTCATTATAAGCATTTAGAGTGTAATAATGGAATTGAGGATTTCATAGTAAAATTAAACACCTGCAATAGGGTTGGTTATGGTTTTAGGTACTTGACAACATTTATTTGAGTGTTAAATAAGTTGGGAACAAGCTTTGTAAGTTTTAGAATGCTTAATTGAACAACAGACAAGTTAACCCTTCTTATGGAATTTAAAGATTAATATGTTCTTAAGAGGTTTCAGTGAGCACTTAATGATTTAAGTGGGGTGTTTTTAGATGATAAAACACCTCCTAATCATGTATGAGAACCTATACAAGTGGTGTAAAGTGATTTGGAAAATGGTATTCAAGAACTATGCAAAGTAGAGTATTATTTTGAGAAAAATCGAGTTTTGTGTGTGTGCAGACATGAAATAACAACCTGACAATATCCATGCCTTAATTTCCATGGCCCATGGAAGTATTTGTTAGAGGTTTTCTTGTTTTCTTTATAACTTCGGTATACAAACTTAGATTTACGCATGGTTTTCGCTTACGTTCATAGTTTTTCATGCGGAATAATTTGATGCAATAAAACTTATTAATGGAATATATGAGGGGTATTTTGGTTATTTTAATAACTTATTTCCATGTTATATAGGTGATGATTGAGAGTGTTGCTCTAAGAAAAGGAATTAGAAAATAACTAGTTAACCTTTGTGTGATTGAGGTGAGTACGTATTGACATTTTCCCACTTTGGGGTACATGGCAAAATGATTTTATGATAATGAAATACTAATGTTTGATATATGAAATGTTTTGAAATGAAAGTGTCAAATGTTTTTGGAAATGATAATTTGAAAGAATGCCTTGAAGGCAATAATGTTTTTAAAGTAAAGAACGTTTTGGAAGATCGAATATTTTGAAAAGGTGTTTGAAATGTTTTGAAATATATATGCTTTAATTTTGGAATTAGTACTTTGGTACTAACATATTAAATATTTAAAGCTTGAAAAGTAATGAAAAGAAATAGAAAGTAATAGAAAAAATGAAAATAAATGAAAAGAGTTGGAAAGTAATGAAAAGAAAATTGCTCGGGCCATGATGCCTCATAAGAAGTCTAGAGGAATCTATCCGGGTGGCATATTCCATGCCGTGAAGTATATGTCATAAGCATGATGTCTTGGTGGATTGATTTTGTTCTTTCCACCTTGGTCTTGGAAATGATGCCTTGGTGGGCTGATTTTGTTCTTCCCACCTCGGTCTTGGAAATGATGCCTTGGTGGAATGATTTTTTCTTTCCACCGTGGTCTTGGAAATGGAGATAGAAAAGAAGCTAATGAAATGATAAGATAAGAAATGACACCTATGATATGATATATTATGTTATGTAAGAAAATGATTGAAAATGTTTTATGGTATGAATGAAATGAATCTTTCTTGAAAATGATTCAAAATGCTTTATGGTATAAATAAAAGGAAGTTTTCTTGAAAATGATTGAAATGTTTTATGGTCTAAAACCCACGTAGCTCATGAGACAATTTTGTCTTACGTATCTCTTTTTAATATCATGTATCTCGGGTTACATATAATGATAGAGGATAATCAATGGAAGCTAGAAGTAATGTGATAGAGAATGGTAACACCCAAGGTTTTAATTGTAAATGTTTTTTGTGGAACTGGTTTTTGTTACATGTGGGTTAATACTCGTAATAATTTTATTAAAACCATAGCATTTAAATTTTGAAAATTTTGGGGTGTTACAAAAATCATATTGGTCGGCACATCGGTACATATCACAGCAAATATAAATAGCCTAAAGCATTGCATTTCTTCGACTGAAATTCCGAAAGTTCGAGCGGTGACTCGTAGAAAAAGGAAGTTTTTTTCAACGTCGATTACGAAAATACGCTTACAGAACAACATAAGGTTTTGGCAAGGTAATAAGTTAAAATCAGTACAAAGCTTGAAGCCACGACAATAGTTAGTCTCCACTAACTAGACAGGTGAGTACGTGTGGAATTTATGTGTACATTGCAAAGTAAATGATTATATGCGAAAAATGAAACCTAGTTGTTTATGTGAAAATGATTACTTTCAGTAAGTTACTATTATTTTATGTTATGGACAAATTTATGGTCCTCAAGTAATAAGTTTCCATGAGAGCAACATATTTATAGGTTCACATGATAAGAACTCAATTAAGGTTCCCACGAGAGGAACACAGTTATAAGTTCCCATGAGAGGAACACGATTATAGGTTCCCATGCGAAGAACACAGTTATGTCTCAAAAATGAGACATGATACAGTAACAGGTCTTAGTAGTGATACATGGGTATGGTAAGTAATGATAAGTTTCAGAAATGAGTCAAGGAGATAAGACATAGTGAGATATCCTTGTAATAGATCCCCTGCTACATTTGGTAAAATTTATTGTGATTAAGTATTATAAGTATTATAGAAGATTATATATGCAAAAGAGTATTAGATTTTCTTGTAACTGCTAATTGATAGATTATGCTCCGAAGATGAGAAATCTACTCCATCTTTGTATGGATGTTTGTTTAGTTGGCATAACTATTTATAATATTTTTCCTGAGAAATTGAGTAATGAGATTAGAAAGATTTATTGGTGAGCCTACACGATGAGAACCAATGAGATTTCGTGGGGAGTCTATATGACGAGAACCATCTATTGTTTACCAATGGATTTCGTGGTGATTCTGTATGGCAAGAACCATCTATTATTATCGATGAGCCTAAAAGGCAAGAAGCGTCATTGCAAGAAGTCATCTTTTATAAAAGTTTATAGATTATTTGAGTAGTACAATAATAAGTTTTACTGAATAAAATACTTGTGTTGTAATTGTGTTATTTAAATCACTTTACTCAGTTAAAACCCATGTAGTTCATGGGTCTTCGAACTTACGTAGTTTGTGCTATGTACTCAGGTACGAAGATTAAAGTTTAAAAGTAAGCCACTACAAAAAGACTTTGAGGAACTTAAAGAAGGTTATGTAATCTTTTCTTTTATTGTGGTTATAGATATTGATTTTGTAACACAAAAGCTATAACTCTGATATTTAAGAAAGACTTTTGTTAAACCGGATTATATGTCATGGTAAACAGCAACCACGGTACTTTCCAGTGTTTTACAAATATACGGTGTTAAACTTATATTTTTTTATCAACATCCTCTTTGGAGTTTCATGGGCACTAGATAAAAATTTGTATGGAGATGTCTTTGATTGCCACCGCTTCATGATAGGGTACTACTTTTTTATTGACTCATCCCTTACCTCATGGCACAGTAAGAAACAATCCCTTAGGACCCACTCTTTTATTAAAGCTAAATGTTGTGCTCTTCTTGACACCACTCAAGAGTTTATATGGTTTTGGTGGCTTTTATTATATAGGGGGTTATACAATCATCGTCTACTCTTTTTTGTGCGACATCGAAACCATTCATATAGCTCATAATGACGTCTTTCACAGACATGCCAAACATATATAGAGACTAATTGTCGTTTTGTGTGACAACATGTTCTTGGTAATATCGTTCTGCTATTGTTGATTTCCACTATTGATAAGAGAATTGATATCTTCACCAAAGTCCTTCTACTTGGTTGTTTTAATCTCATACTCTCCAAACATTCACTTGAGAGAGGGTGTTAGCATTAATATAGAAACCTTCATTCCATACCTTTTAGATATTTCCTAGTTTAACTTCTTGTTTAATCTATATATTGTACCTTTACTTGTTTATCTCAAATAAATATTACATTTACATGCCAAGCTAACATCTTATATATATATATATATATATATATATATATATATATATATATATATATATATATATATATGTGTGTGTGTGTGTGTGTTATATTATCCATTTCACCTTTTCATCTCTAATGTATTATCATTCAATACCAAATCAAGCTTGCGGCTCTTGGTTCTTCTCTACATCACGGTTGATCATCAGATCAATTATAAGTTCAATCATAACAATCACAACGTTGAAGCATATATCTTTAATCTTGAATTTCCATGTTATGTAAAGGAGCACGAGTACAGTTATTCTATTTTGCTTTTTATAAGCATACTTGCTTATTTATACTAATTAAACATATAAAGGTAATAGCAAACAGGCACAATTAATAAGGGTATATAATCAAATGAATCAAATTTGGTCTTGATAGTCTTGACTGTTGTAAGGGCTAAAGGCTTCAGCCAACCAGCTCTTCTTCCTCCAAGAATTCCATCCCATTTCTTCACATATTTCATCATTGTGATTAATGCTGAAAGTGGAAATGCAAGTCCTCTTGTAAAACCTGGTTGTGTTCTTCATTATTTCCATCTCCGTTGTTATCTGTTCAAGCATTTTCTCCATGCTAGGTAGCTTAAACTTACCACCCACCAATCGAGCTAACCATTTGCAACGTATCTCTGAGGTCTGGAGGTTTGAAACACTTTCCACATAACCCATGAAACCCATGTTTGGAATGAATGGATGAATCGTACCCCTGTTAATTTTGCATCAAGGCACAACATATTAGTTTATTTCACATATATTACTGAAACCGGGTGAAAAAAAAAAAAAAATAAAGAAAAAGAAAAATAAAGATAAAGGAATGCTCAAGCTTGCCTGTATAAGGGCATCATGCCAGAAGGAAATTCCAAGAAACTACGAAAGGGTTCAGGCAATACATCTCTAAGCTTCTTTTTGCCATCATAACCGGTGGCAAGAAGCACAACATCCGCCTCTAACTTGGTGTTGTCCTCAAACTCAATACCACCTTCCCAAAACCACCAGTTTGAAGCTCTTTTGAAATTTATTTTACCCTTATCAGCCTCATGAAAGAAGCTTTCGGGCAAGATGGCCATCTGACATGATGCATAATCTTCCTCAAAAGGGTGATCTGGTTTTAGTCCATACTTGACAAGTGGAAGCTTCCATAGCAGATAAGATTCGATGATCTTGGATGCTGCTTTTCTCTATCAAACACACACAAAAGTCATATATATTATTTGTGAGATTTATCTATACACATAGTGGGGAATATTATAATTAGATATGAATCGTTACCGCAGGGGATAAAAGCATGCAGAGGAGTGTCTTGAGAGTGCCTTGATTTGGTCTTGCATGGAGGAACTGAGAAAATCTGGTTGAATAGAACAAGTAAAATGGCAAACCCCAGATGGAGTAGTGTGGAACTATCCAATGAGAAGTCCTAACCACCATGGTGCAAGCTTTCCCTTCTTCCCCTTCATCATACATCCCAAATAATATTAACATATATAGTTGAAATTAAATAATATTATGTTGTTCTAAAGTCGTGCGTATAAAAATTAAATGTTAAAGAAGGCCGAAAGGCCAAATAAGGAAATTTAAGGAGTTCAATTGTGAACTGAAATAGGAAAACAAAACACTACACAAGTATACAAAAAGACAATAACATATTGGTGTGCATGCGTTGAAGAATGAGACAGCTGCTTCGTGGTTGTGGTCCTTGTGGACATTTAAAATATTTATGTTTCAATTATTAATTACTTATTTTGTTTGATTGTTCTTCACACTTCACCACCGCTTCTCAATAACATTTAAATTTGGTTCATTAACCATATTCTAATGTTAGATCTTTATAGTTTTCCAACTAATTAAGCAATCTGTTTAACTAAAAATTAATATATTATACCTTGGTTAGCTTCGGCACATTCGACAGCAAGATCAATGCCTGATTTCTTGTAGCCGACAACCACCACCTTCTTTCCTTTGAGAAGCTGGAAAGACTCCTCTGGATTGAGTTTGCTGTATTCTTGAGAATGCATCACCTTCCCTTTAAACACTTCTGGGCCTTTGTTCATCCCATACTTTGGTATTATTGGTACATCTCCATATTTCCCCATACACATCACGATAAACTCAAAACCATACCACTGCATGCATATACATATTCAAACATATACTTAAAGCCGTATCCAAGAATTTATGCATGAAGAAACTTAATAACTATATGTTTAATTAACTTGAGGATTAAGTTGTTTTGAATTCAAAAGAGCTAGATATGAACCTGAATAGCAGTGGAGCCACTAGTCTGGACAGCAACCTCCCAAACGGGTTTTCCAGACGACAGCAAAGTTGAGGGATTGTTCAGGGAATCTGACATCGGGTCCTTGGACTTCGCTAACCTGATTTCGACCACCTTTGAGTTGAAGTTGATGAATTTGAACAAGTCAAAGTGTTTGGCATAAGAATTGAGATAATCCAGTATCTCGGTATATGTCGGGAAGCTGGTGTTATCCCTAAGTGGCCATGGGTAATCAGAGAACTCATAGTCGCAACGAGGGGTCTGAAGCTTGGTGGTTCTAAAGGAGCTGTGCTTCCAAACACCTCCAATGGAGTCGGTGGCCTCAAACACAATCGGGTTGTGTTCGGAGAGCTGTTTGGCTGCAGCTAAGCCGCTTATGCCACCTCCGATGATGCCTATCTTGGAGAAGATAAGTGCCATAATTAGTTAACTATTGCGAGGTATATATGTATATATGGATTTTGCTTAATGTCAAGTGTGTTTTGTATATATGGATTTTGTAAGAATGATGGTGCATATGGAGATGGATGGACGTTATGCTATTTATAGGGGATTGCATGAGGTACAAGTAAGATGATGGTGCATATGGAGATGGATGGACGTTTGACTTTTTACAATATCCAGGAAAAACTGTGTTCATACTTGGGTTAGTCTAAGTTTACAAAATTTCAGATGCCACATGCAAGCTTTTTGTTGTTATATATGCTTCGTGAAAAAGACTAAAGTTATTACGAAAATATTTGATTAATTAATTAGTTAACATCAAAATCCAATTAAGTTCTTAGATTATATACATTTAGTTAGAATTAATATATATATAATCTTATATAAGTTTAGGTACTTAAACCTACCATACTATGACGTTTCTGTATCATATATGCATTGTAATCCTCCAAAATTCTTAAAATTCAACTCCTAACTTATTTACTTCCAATATTTTTAGAAAATCCATCATTATCTTCATCTTGCATAATTTTTATTTTCAACTATAATATATATAATCTGATAGGTGTTCGGTAGAAAAATATGATGTAAGAGAAAGATAATAATGAAATTTCGAAAATCTTAGAAGTAATTATGTTAGGGGTTAAAGTTTAAGAATTTTGGATGACTACATTGCATATATGATACAAAGTGACGTAGTATAGTGAGTTTGGGTATCTAAGTTTATTTTATATATATATATATATATATATATATATATATATATATATATATATATATATATATATATATATATATATATATATATATATATATATATTAGAACCAAGATCAAATAAAAAGAAAATTTTTGGTAAAAAAATAAGAAATTATTTTTATATATTTTTTTAGCAAACAAACAAAATAAATCATTGGATAATTCACAAAAAAAATCTCAAAAAAATAATTTCATAATTCATTTTTAAGTAAATAAAAAAAATTATTTTTCTGACATTTTTTGTGAATATCATCAAAATCATCATAAAAATATATCATCGAGACGTTTTTTGGGTAAATTTTTTTGGGTGAATTATCTTATTTTTTATTCATCTAGTTATTCATTTATTTTGTTCGCCAAAAAATATCGAAAAAAAAAATCTTACTTTCCTACCAAAAAAATATAAAAACTTAAAACTGTTCTGTAGTCTAGAACTGAATTATCTACATTAGTCAATGAAATTTCACTATTTACTTCTTGTCAAGCAAGGAAATTAATTTGAATTCATCAAAGCTTTATTTGCTATAAATTTAATTTATTATTTATTTGCTATAAATTTAATTTATTAGAGTTGAAATACTTATAGCTTCTTCACTGCATCTTCAATTCCATTTCATGTAAATTAAGGAGACATTAAACAATGTATAATATATCTCATATATGATATATGTCAACATGCATTAACAGTGGCATATATGGTGTACCGGCATTGACGATATAGAAACAGCAGTGTGTGTACGCGTAACACCATTAATTTAATTATTTATGTAGTAATGTACCCCACACATATCACAACTAGTTAGCCAAATCTTTTTATGTTTAATTCAACTCTTTTGCTTTTGTTATTAATTAAATCTAAAATAAATGTGTTTACTTACTAATATTAATGGTTGTGTATAGCATTTCTAACCTGGGTAGTTAATTACTTATAAAGTTTCATGTCCCATAAAGAATAATTTGTGACATATTGCCAAAAATGCCATATGTGGCTGGAATAAAAACTTTGTTTTAATTATCGTAGTACTCAGAGTTTCAACCACTATCCTAGAAATTCATTAATTTGCGAATTTTTCCCTTAAGGATATTAACCCATTAAGAGGGAATGTTTCTTTTTCTTGGTGTTTTGGTTATATGATCGATGTATATACATTAAGAATACGTGAAGTTAGGCGGAGTGTATCTTCTTGGAATTTGTTAATCAGTATATATTCCATTTAAAGTTAATAGAAGTTATTAATTTGGAAAGAGTCAAACATTTTATTGGTGATGAAAAGCAGAGGAAAGATCGAGGAAGTTAAGTAATGATGCTTGACTAGTGTAGAAAGAAAGAGACGATTAAAGAAGAGAAGAGTAAACCTCTTCCATCGTGTTCCATTCCACAAATGCATGTTTGATATGTCATGTGACTTCTTTTCTCCCTTCCACGTTCCATGGAATTCCCCGAATAGATGACATTGATTGTTCTCATTTCTCATTTCTCAATTCATCATTTTATTTGTTTATTATTTATCAACCTAGAGAGACACTAATCGTATATCATAAATTAAGAGCTATATAGAAATCATGTCAAATACTCTATGTATAAAATGAAATTTATCTCAACGATTCGATATGCATGATATATAATTGTATTGAATAAAAACATATACAAAATCAATGATTCAAAGTGAAAGGATATGAGATTTCGTCAAGGTGGTGTGTAAAGAATGATTATTAAATAAGAGAGTTTCTTGGTAAGACCTTGATCGATATCATTTTTTTAATTATTTAAGTCAAAGCTATTATTTAATTGTTAAATAATAACTAACCCTTCATTATAATATCTTAATCTAGAAATTGTAAACTAAACACGATATTACGGTTACAAACTTACAATGCATAAGGGGTTTGGAAAGAAATACAAGCGACCTTTTAGACCTTCATCTTCCAAAGTCGTAATCATTCACACTTCCTAGCAAGTACCTTACCAACCACATCTTGTTTTTTTCTTGATACCAATGCATCATATACTTCTAATATTATATATTCGGGTATCAAATCGATAATTTCTACTTTAATTGTATATATATTTCTTCATCATCGTGGGTTGTGTCTCCTCCTTATACAAGTATATGATAAGGTGCTATTATTTGCATCTTCTAAAGTGAATTAAATCAAATGGATTTCATTATATCAATATTTCAATTGTTTATGTTTAATTTTATTTACTATACCGTTTATTTTTAGAGCATCTAGGATCATGGACTTTATTCATAGCATTTTTTGATTTGTCACATCAACTATATCAAACAAAAACTTATTAACTCATGTATACCCATTTAAATGTTAATGTATTGTAAACAAACATCAATTTTTTAAATGAAATATTAACCGACGAGAATATTTAATTAATATAATATATTACAATCTGGAAATTTTAACAATTAAATTAAACGGAAAAAATATATTACAACACGAAAGCCAAAACAAAAAATATAAACTTTTTTGTTTATTTTTTGAAAATATAAAAGATGATAAATTTTTATGTATATAGTTATACAAAAATACCAAAAATATTATATTATAATTAATAATTTAAATTAAATTAAAACATAATATGATATATTATTTAATGATTGTTAAAAGAAATCAATTTGTTAATAAATAACAAAGTATTAAAGGTTAAGTATAATTAAAGAGTAAATAAAAATATCATTGATTAAAAACGGTAGTTTTAATAACACTAATAAAAAAACCATTTAGTTTATATTGAATAGTTAAATTATTCGATCAAAAAATGAATGGTCTACGATGGTAAATAACTAAATTTGAGTTTTAAAATTTTAAATACTCGACATCTCAAATGACCTCCCATTGAAAATGTTGTTAGGGTATGAAGAGTGGTAAAAGGCATGCAAGTGTGCAACAATGACTTTAGATTTGGCACTTGGGGTCGTTCAATTGCAAGGCAACTAGTATGACATACATGGATGACATGCAAAGAGCATCATGCTCATGCAACTCTCCCTCCTTCTCTTCCCCTATCTATTTTAAATTTATTATCTAACTGGTGATCTCGCGTGCCACACGCACACACACATACACACACACACACACATATATATATATATATATATATATATATATATATATATATATATTTACTATTTTATAAAAGAAATATCACTATTTCTAAAAATAAATTGAATATAATAATATTATTTTTTTAAGACATTCAAATCATTAAGCTAATAGTACAAGTAGTCATCAATAAAATAATATTAAATTTTAAACTGTGTTTTGAATCCTTATATTTCTCAACAAATTCTATCTACTTCCCTGAATTTCGGATAATTCAAAATTTGAAACCATCAGAAAATACATGTTGATTCAAATATCCCTCCTGCAGATGGCTCTTTCTTAACAGGTTTTTATTTTAATCCTTACTTTTAATTGATTTCATCATTTTTAACTTTTTGTATTTTTATCTTATAAATATATTGGGTGAAGGCTTTATTATATCAGATTTGTTCCTAAAAGGGTTTTTACTATGTTTCTTTAATGTGTTGGCTTTGCAGGTTCAAAGAACTCAACCAAGATGGCCAGTTAAAACATTGTATTATCATTAGTTTGTATATTTTGGCATCTTACTTTTGCAATAAAGAACGGTTAAACACATGATTTGACATGATTAAGGTAGTTTGTATATTTTTCATCTTGTTTAGTCTAAAAATGAAGCCTTTTTCATCATTGGTCCTTATAATATCAAGTTTTATCATATGGACTTCCTGATTACGGTGATTATTATCCTTATTATAAGGTTCTATATAGATTTAGTTCAATATTTTAAGGTTTCGAGAACCTAAATCAATATGGATCCTTGAATTACATAACATCGTTGAAAATGTTTTAATTTGTGACCAAATTTAATTTAAAATCACAATGAACAAGTTGACATCTGAGTATTTTGGCCTTCTCAAAGGCCTATTTATCGATTTTTGAATCACAATACCTGGTATTCTAAAGGTTTATTTTTATAAACTATTATTTTTATATTTTAGCATTTTACTTAGTAGGATATTAAATTAATAAAAGAATTAAGGAAAACGAAAAAAAAAAAAAAAAGACGATAAACAGTACAAGTGGTTTGGGTATATATAAATGGAAGTAATAACCATTTAGGGGGTGTTTGGCAAAAAAGTTTATTGCTTATTAGTTTATTAGCTTATAAGTTAATAAGTAAGTGTATGGTAACTTATGAAAAAAATGACATATTAGAGGTTTCCTACCGGAATAAGTTATTTTAATCCAAACACTTTTTTAACT